AAGCACTGGAATCGAGTGGCAGGGCCAGGGTCTTCGCTTTCAGGATCCCATTGCTCTCTTCTTTTACTTGAGTTGTAACTTCTTTGTCTAGAATCTTGCAGAGAGATGTTGAATTGTGCAAAAATTTCTCCACGCATTTAGTGTTGTTGAAGATAGGTGATTGCCTTATTAGAGATGTGTACCATTCATTATGTATCTGAAGTTGGTACATATTTTGGTGATTATTCCCCTTTTTAAAATTTTTCTTTTGCTGACTTTGATGATTATATTATCTATTACGACTTTGTAGAGACTCGTGTTTTGATAAATAACTGCCATCTCCGATATGTTGGGTTATTTCCTCTTATGAGGAGGAAAGTACGTGTTTGGGGTCTTATATTATAGCCACCCTAATGATGAATATAAATACAAGAAGATTAGAGAAAATACGAGTCCAATTCGTTTTTGAAATGAGTAAAAATACAATTTTTTTCTCAGCGCTCAGATTTCATCAAAGCTGCAATCCCGAGTCGGCCGTGCTCCAATCGAGCTGAATTTTGGAGAGGTTCACAAGACACAAAACTACAATATTATGTGTACCATAATATTAGAGATGTGTGTGAACCCGTATTAGAGATGCGTACCATTTATTATGTACCTGAAGTTGGTACATATTTTGGTGATTATTGCCCCTTTTAAAAATTTTCTTTTGCTAACTTTGATGAATATATTATCTATTACGACCTTGCAGAGATTTGTGTTTTGATAAATAGTTGCCCTCTCTGATATGTTGGGTTATTTCCTCTTATGAGAAGGAAAGTACATGTTTTGGGTCTTATATTATAGCTCAAAGCCCATTAGGGTGTTAACCCTAATGATGAATAAAAATACAAAAAGATTGGAGAAAATATGAGTCAAACTCGTTTTTGAAAAGAGTAAAAATATAGTTTTTATCTTTGCGCTCAGATTTCATCAAAGTTGTGATCCCAAGTCGCCCGTGGTCTGATCGAGCTAAAATTTGGAGGAGATGTTCACAAGACACATAACTACAATCTGATAGGCGGAGATTGGATTTTGAGTTCGAGAACATTGGTTAATGTGCGTGAACAGTAACCAAATTTGTTGGTATATTTTTCCTATTTCATATTGTTATGTCGAGATTTTTGTTATCTTGAAGAAATATACGTTGTAGCCTCTAGTTGTGATTAGAGAAGACTGCGTACTCATTATTTGATTGATATTGGAGGTTTTGAGTGGACTGGGTCTTGTGGTTTTTATTCCTCACATCGGGGAAATTTTTTAACGTAAAATAACTGCTTGTGTCATTGTGGTTCGGTGTGATCGATTTTTTTAGAACATTTTCAGCATATAGAATTGTCAGGAAAGATGTATTACTTATTTGCTTTTGGAAGATGAATTATTATATCGTGCGTTTATTTGTTTGCATCTCTCCTGACAAGTGGTATCTGAGTCAAATTCTAAGATTTGAGTTTTAGATTATGGAAGTGAATTTGAGTAAAATAATTA